AAATATTTGCTGTGCTTTTAATTACGTTTGGAATTTTTTTGGCAACATATGCATCTAGTCAATCATTAAATATACAAATGCAATCAAGTCGTGTGGAAATAAATGAAACTAAACCTGATTTTTTTAAATGGCTCATAGGTATGACATTTCTTCTGTAAAGATAATTAATCTTATCTTTCTTTGAGGCTTACCTAGACTTGACCGGACATATTTAAGATTGACTCAGCATGTTATTTTATGACAGTCGAAGAGCTAGATTGAAGATAATACAAACATTTATATTTGTGAAAAATATCGAAAAGCAATCAGACTAAAGGTCGAATTCAGCACCCTACCTCGACAAAGATCAAACATTCTTTATGGCGCACCCGTTATCAGACGATGGAGTTTTTCCTTTGAGAACGAGAATCTTCCACAATGAGAACTTCCGAATTCGCAGCTTCCTAAAGTGCAGGCTTATAGAGGAAGACCTTCTCTATCTACTAGTATATACATTATCAAGTTTTACTGCATATTGTGGGCATGTCAATTTATTAGACAGTGGCAGACTTTCTCTAAAAGCCTAAATCCATCTCATTCTGTAGTCAAAACTCTTTAATCTAATTGATATTTCTAGGTATTGGAATGCTAATTTTTGCTTTACTTGTTTCGGCATTGATGGGTATTTATCAAGAAAAACTTTATGCAGAATATGGCAAATATCCTGAAGAAGCACTTTTCTATTCAGTAAGTAAAAATTAAAATGAAGTTTTCTAGTTATATTTATTGCTCTTTTTTTTTTGACTTTAGCATTGTCTACCGTTACCATTATTTGCATTTGTAGGTGAAAGTATTTATCATCATGCACAGTTATTTAATCAATCAAGTAAGTTTTTTTTTGGTTGATATTCAATTTTGTTTTGTAAATCGACATTTTTTAGCTTGGTTACCTCTATTTTCAAATGTTGGTATTCCAATTATGTGGGCTTATTTAATTTGTAATGTATTAACACAATATTTTTGTATACGATCTGTATTTATATTAACAACAGAATGTCCATCTTTAATTGTAACATTAGTAATAACATTAAGAAAATTTATTAGTTTACTTTTTTCGATAATTTATTTTCAAAATCATTTTACATTGAATCATTGTATTGGTACAGCAGCGGTCTTTTTAGGAACATTTCTATTTAGTAATATTCATAAAGAAATTTATAATTATTTTACAAGACCACATGTTCATGTGGAATAAAGGAAAAATGAACAAAATTTTGTTTTTTATTTTCTAGATTTAGTTTTAATTATTTACTTGAAGAAATGGTAAAAAAAAATAAGATCTATTGATTTTATTTAATAAGTTTCGAATTTTTCTTTGCATAGACTCAAATCAATGCAATTGATACTGGCCATGAAGAATTAATTGTATGTAATCTTTATGTAAAATATAAAAGAAATAGAATATATAATTTTTTAGCATGATGCTCAATTAGATTATTATGGTATACGTTTAGCAACATGTTCATCGGATAAAAGTATAAAAATATTTGATGTATCAAATAATCAACAACGTCTTATAGCTGAATTAAAAGGGTAAAAAAAAGTTATATGTAAATATAAAAACAACAAAAAAATAATAATAAATCTTTGTTTCTATAAAGACATGATGGTCCTGTTTGGCAATTATCATGGTCACATCCAACATTTGGAAGTTTACTTGCATCATGTTCTTATGATAAAAAAGTATTAATATGGAAAGAAACACCACCCACTGGATTACCATCTCAAACTAATACGAGTGGTGGTACACAATATACATCTATATATGAATATGATCGACATACATCATCAGGTAAATATACATTATGTTTTAGTATTTCGAAGTAGATCTTTTATATAATGTTCTACTGACCTATAATAATCTTATTGAGATAGTTGAAGAATCGTTCGCTCTATAACTTATCACATAGTAGGTCTCGAAATAGGTCACTAAGTCTGGCTATTTTGCTATTAGGTCACGCGATCTGAATATTTTTTGAGGAAGAGCTTCCATTAACCATAAGATAATAACAGAACACTTATTTGATTCCATGACATTAGTTTTGTAATGTTTTTTTTGAAGCATTTAAATGGTTTGAACTTATTCAACTTATGATCACTATGGTAATAAACTTTCTACAATGTTCTTATAAATGATTGCATTGATTATGAAGTTCAATTTGTAGAGATCCTATTTTTGTAAAAGAATTCTGTTTTTAATAGTGACATTTTGAACTTGGTTGAGCCATTAAAAATGAATCGATTTCAAGAATAATGCAATTTTCGTTTCTGTCGGATTCATGAAAAATGAATCAAGTATCAAACATCTTATACATTGTTAACATCTATTGCATAAAAAATTTGAAATTAGTTTCATTAGTATGATTCATGAAAAGGATTGCTAATTTTATTTCTGGAACCGTTTGATTTATATTCGTTTTTTTTTTATTTTAATAATATTTTAGTTAATACAGTTTCTTGGGCTCCATATGAATATGGTCTAATGTTAGCATGTGGAAGTTCCGATGGCTCAATTTCAATTATTTGTTCTACTGGTATGTTTTAACTTTTTGTAAAGCTGTAAAATAAAAGTTTCTTTTTTTGAGGTGATGGTCGATGGACAACTAAGAAAATTCCTGATTGTCATCCCGTAAGTAAATACGACTATTAATTTTTGACTACACAACAAGATATTTGTAGCCTTGTAAACAAAGCATTCCTCTCTTTCTAATACTATACGGATTATCCAATTCTACAAGATATTTCAGCTAGCCAAGTTAGTTCCAGGTTTGCAGTTTTCGAATGTGATGAGCTCTAGTCATCTCAGAAATGTGTCAGATGCACTAGTCACCGAGTACAAAAAAATTGGAAAATAGTATCTCGTATCTTCGAGATGACTATTCAATTCCGATCGAGCGAATCAAAGTACAATTCGACCGGATTCGGAATTGAAAATTTCTGATCCAACAGGCTCTATTACCTACTGTTGATAGGTAGTGTCACCTATCAAGACGCACTAGAACTTAGCCATGTGTGACTTATTATATAGAGGAAGGTTTTTTAGTTTCTAAAGAATTTCTTTTATCATATGGTTTTGCTTTTAGCCGGGTGTTAACGCACTTAGTTGGGCACCAGCTGTATTACCACAAACAAGTGATGATACAGGTATACAAGGAACAACAGGTGAACCTGTAAAACGTTTTGTTTCAGGTGGATGTGATTGTTTAATTCGTATATGGAAGTAAATTATCAAATAAAATCTTTATTTATAAAAATAGAAAACAAAAAAACATTTTTTCTTATCATAGAGAACAAGATGATGGATGGGTAGAAGAAGCTCGTCTTGACCAGCATAATGATTGGGTACGAGATGTAGCATGGGCACCAACATTTAGTTTTTATAAAGATAAAATTGCTAGTTGTTCACAAGTAAGATTTTCTAAAAAATCCAGTTGCAAAATAAAACTCATTAAAATAAATGATTTTCGTTTTTTTTTTCAATAAAGGATGGTCATGTTTATGTATTTACACGTGATACACGTTCGTCATTAAATTGGGATTGTACTCAAATTGATACACATTTTAATGATGTATGGAGTGTTAGTTGGTCATTAACAGGTGATATACTTGCTGTTGCTGCATCCGATAAAGTTAGTTTATGGAAACTTGGTCTTGATGGTAAATATCAATGTTTAACAACTCCACATGCATCAACGACAAGTACAGGATCACCATCGGTTAATAGTTCAATGGAAAGTACAACAGGAGAAACTGGAAATATACCATTAATGGCTTCTTAAATAGAAATAAATCTATATATACAATCTCTAATTGTTATTTTGTTCTTTTAGCTTAAATTTTTCTTGTGCAGAAAAAAACCAAACAAGACATATGAAAAATGAATTTTTTTTCTTCTCTTTTTTTTTTGGTTTGTTCAATTTTAGATTTATATTTAGTTAAAAAATGAGTCAAATAGGACAAGTCGTTGGAATATTACGTAAACTTTATGATGAATATCAAATAAGTACACCGAAAAAATTAAAATTAATTGATGCATATTTAGTTTATGTTTTATTAACGGGAATTATTCAATTTACTTATTGTCTTCTTGTTGGAACATTTCCATTTAATTCATTTCTTTCAGGATTTATTTCATCTGTTGGTTGTTTTATTTTGGCTGGTAAGAATATAATTTTTTGAAATAAAGATTATTTTATTTTAGTTTTTTTGTTTTCTAGCAAGTTTACGTATTCAATTAAATAAAGCTAATCGATCAACATTCAATGTTACACCTGAACGTGCTTTTGCTGATTTTGTTTTTGCTCATATTATTTTACATTTAGTTGTTATTAATTTTATTGGTTAATCATTAGACATTCTATTGAACTTACATGACTTAGTGTTTTTGTTTTTGCTTTAAATGATAAATAAAAGAAAAGATTGTACTCATTCGTTATATGTTGTAGTTATTGATATACAAGAAAAAATTACTTATTTTTCAGAATCATTATGTTCGTTGTCTTTTGCTTTCTGTCACGTAGCTTGTTATATTAACTCTTAGCATATTTTTGCTTAATATGTGATATATATGTCGTATATAGTTTTGTGAAGACTATCTGTTCTAACGTCGTGAATAAAATTCTATTAGATCTAATAATTGAATTTATATCTAACTGCTTGAACAATTAAAGAAAGCGGTTTCAGCTATATGTTTCGCGTCAAATTGAGAATTTTCCATATAAAGACTCATCAAATTTAGATCGAAATAATGCACAAGATACTCAACAAGCATTTCAATTAGTAACAAAACAATTGACATTCGATACTTTATTGATTTTTCTAGATTTGTACTCATCTTTTATTTTTAATGTTGCTGTAATAAAGATATGACAAGAAAAAAAAAACAATCTATTGAATTCTTGCTTAAAATATTTTACTTTGTTCAAGTTTATTGATAAAAAAAATATTAATAGAATCAAAAGTCAAACATTTTTCATTATTTTAATACTTTTAATTAATTCCAATGTTTTTTGTACTTCTTTATGATCAATATCAAGAGTTTTCAATTGAATATGATGCGCTTTATATGCGTATTCTAATGCTTTATCAATTTGATTCAATTTTTTACAAACTTTTGCTAATATATATGTTGATTCAGCACGTCGTCGATGTTCTTCAGAAAGTGTTGCTTCAAGAATATGAAAAGCTTCTTCTGCATATTGAAGTGCACATTCTAAATTATTTTGATCACATAAAATTTCTCCTATATACATTAATGACATGCCAATATATGGATGTTGACGTGGTAAACTTTTCATATAAATATCAATAGCTTTTTGATAATGTTTCAATGCTAAATGACTTCCTTTTTCTTTTGCTTGATAAATTTTACCTAGATTATGATGAGTTATACCGATATCCGAATGATCTGAAGGAAGTGTTTTTTCACTCATAGATAAATCTCGCATATAATAAATAAGTGCTTCATCATAATGATTTAAAGCTAAATGAACAAGACCAAGATTACAATATGATACAGCTAATTCAGGATGATTTGATGGTAAACATTGTTCTTTCATAGCTAATGATCGTTGATGATAATCAAGTGCTTGTTCAAAATTATAATGATTATAAAATGCTAAACCAATATTACTTAAACTTGTTGCTATATCTGGATGATTATGTGGAAAAAGACGTTGTTTCATTTCTAAAGCCCGAATATCATATTCTAATGCTAATTCAAATTTACCCAAACGTTCATAACATAGACCAATATTATTTAATGCTTCAGCAATATGTACATGATCTTTTGAAAGTATTTTTTTCGCTTATTAATAAACATTCAAGATGTTTTTCTAATGCTAATTCATATTATCATATAATAACCCAATACCACCTAATGTTTCACCTAAATCTGAATGACCATTAGGAAATATTTTACGTTGAATAACAAGTGCTTTTTCATATTCAATCATAGATTGAGAATAATTTCCTTCACGATATAAATTTAAACCTTTATAATAATAGATAAGTGCTAAATCACGAGTTTCATTTTCATCAGATATGATTGTTATCAATTTATTTAAATAATCATGTACAAGATTATATTCTCCCATTTGTATTAATAATCTAGCAAAAATAAAATCAATATTTATTTCATTTACTTCAGTTTTAATTGAATTTATATATGCTTGTACAACATTAGTTCCTTCATCTGTTGTTATAAGATAAATATTCCATTTACCATTTATTTCATCATATTTAATATCAATAATTTTAAAAATGGATGCAAGATCAAATAAAACTTCATCTTCATGTGGAAATTGACTCATAGATGCAACATGTGCAAAACATCCATAAGATAAATTAAATGTTGTTTGAATTATAAAAATAACTTCTTTCGAGTAACAATTAGCAATTTCTTGTTTTCGACTTGTTGATAGAAATCCATTTAATGATATTAATTGACCTTTTTTACTACATAAAATATCTATTTCTTCTTTTGACATTGTTCGACCGATGATAAACAATCCATTGAGTTAATGGTTGTTCAAATTCAATTAATAATTGTTTATATTGTTCGAATTCTTTATGTAATTGTTCAGATAAATCAGCAATAAAAGCTCGACATATATAAAGTGCATGAAAATCTTCTGTTCGTAATGCTTTATTGATAAGTTTTGACACAAATGTTGGTGTTGTATACCAATAAATAGCATCTTCACTTTTATATTTTTGATTGAATTCTTCTATTTTATTTAATTCTTCAATATTATCTTTATAATAATCTCGACATTCATCTAACATTTCTTTCATTGTATTATGTGTATGATGAAATTTTTGTAAAACACTTGTAAGTAATTTAAGCCATAAAAAGAAAGTGTCTGTTTTTGAAATATCACGCATTGAATATTGCTTATTTTCATCAAATATTGTATATTTAAGATGAAAAGAATCTGATATAGAATTAAAATTACGTAATATTTTTAATTTTTCTATATCAAATATATTTACTATTGATCCAGATTGATCAATTGATTTAAGATGAATTTGTAAATGAATTATTAATTCTTTATGTGTATTTATAATATGATGAATTTTTCTATAACGTTTTTGCATATATTCATATTTTGTTTTTTCTATACAAAAAACAAGAATTGATTCGATTTGATCAATATTATGAATTAATGGAATAACAGTGACACCTAATGAACCTGATGTAATTAAACAAATTTGTTGATTTATATTTTTCAATGAATTTATATAATTGATACAATCTTCAGATGAAGTCAATGTAACAACAGGACCTGTATTTATCTGTTTTATCATCATTAATGTCGAATAATCATGTATTTTATCAAGCCATATAATGATAACATGATTCTGAGATGATTGCTAACATGATAAAATTAAAAAGAAAATTCTTTTCAAATAAAAAAAAAATATATACATACTTTTACTTCTTCATTGCTTGCAATTATAAAAAAACATCGAAAAAGGTAATAAATAAAGAAAACTATCCAATAAATGATTAGCATAATGAAGTATATATGAGATTCCTCCATTTGTTAAATCTCTCAATTATGTGAAAGAAATCGCAATTTTTTAGTTTTGAGTAGTGTTAATTGTTAAATTGTTTTGATTCAGAATTACGCCTTTTATACAAATGATTAATAATGTTTGTTTGACAATATTATGAGAAGAAGTCATGACAACTATTTATACGATCACTTGGACTTTTCCAAGTATGAAAAAAAGAAATACGCTATTCAAATTCAAATAATATCTGTGTTTAATGATTCATAGTTATTGAAAATAGAAGAAAAAGAAGTGTAGGTTTAATATAATAAACAAAGAAAAATGAAATATAATCAATGTTCCATCATAAACAAAAGTGGAAATCAAACAAATATTTTAAATTATAATGAGATTTTAAACTTCGAGATAGTTTTTGAGATTTTCTTCTAATTTTAATATGTTCTTCATTTGAAAATTTAGCAATATACTAAAGTAATCAAAACAGAAAAGAAACTGACCACAATAAGTGCTAGTGTTGTGTTAATCGACGTGACTGAGTGTTAAAGAATTTCATTTTTTCGCATTGTAACATCTATTTCTTCCTAATGGCAAAAACAAATCTTTTGAAACTTTCAATATAGATAGAGACTGCTTAGCTCTAATATTAGTAGAAATTCAATTGATTCTCCATTAGCTGAAGTTGAACTATTTAGAAAACATCAGCCATCATAGAGTTTCTTTTTTATCGGTACAGAGTTTTGCATTTTACTACGAAACAAAGGGATATACAAATAAAATTCCTATACGATAGTTGTTCATATTTTGACAGATTTTCAGAATATCAGATCATTGTTTAATAAGCATAACTGTATCGAGTAACAAATTAAAAATAGTGTTCGACCAGTACTAATCAAATACAGCTATTTTTGATGTGAAGTAGTCGGAATTTATTCACTTAATTTGATCATCATCAATAAAATTTATAATAAAAACTAGAGAGAAAGCTGGTATTTCCAACAGAAAAAAAAGAATATACTGTTTGTTTTTCTCTTTTTTTTTTTTATATATGCGCATATGTAAAAAAAGACAGAAGCATCGAGCATGCTTTTTCGTTTCTGTTATGAATACTAACAGGTAGTTGAGAACAAATTGCACTCAATGTCAGTGCATGTTGCTCTCATTTTTTAATCATAAAGAATTCCCTCTTAAGCTAAGAGCTCGAAAATTCCAAGTTCTACGAAGCTGTGAATTGTATTTTTCAAATCAGCTACCTTCGGAAAGGTAAACTTTAATAGATAAACATCTACGCAGTCGTCCGATTGCAACAGTAAAATAAATCAAAAAATGATAAAGTTGTTTTTAACTAAAGGTTAAGATAGAGTTTCAATTATCCCACAAAGTCCTGCGTAAAATTCTGTATGTTTGCATGTATATTTTGGAACTTCAGAAGAAATATTTTGGAGAAACAGTTTTGAAGTAAAAACCACATGATGACATCCAAAAACAACCGAATTCTGATAAACCTCTGCCACTGTTATTTTTCAATTTGAAAGAATACACATGCTTCCACCATTCAGCTGAATAGTTACAGCATTTTGTTCAGAATTAAGTTCTATATCCAATGGTATAGTAATAAATCTAGCATAGGCTAAGTTTAGTTTTTGAAAGCATGCTGTTCGATAGCGAAAAACAACAGTATGGTCATTCACTATCAAAATGTTTTATGCTTAAGAGATGGAAGGACATCAGAATGGTTTTACTTGCAGAAAAAGACGCACTTTGTATTCCAGGACAGAGGCGACCAGTTTCGCTACTAGACTCGTTTCTCAAAGTTAAAGATTGTTTATTTTCCAAAGTTTTCTATAACTGCTCAAAGTTCGCGAAATTTTACCGGATAATCAATCTGGATTTCGGGTGGAATATCACCTACAAACACATGCTTCACTCCTAATCGAACAGATATCCTCTATTATGTCATACATTTCTCCAATCGCTACAATTTTTGTGGATTTGAAAGTGCATTTGATCAATTGTGGTTCGAAGAATGGTTAAGAAAATTAGTTAGAATGAGCATCCTTATTGACGTTGTCAAATGAATTCGCGTCTGATTCGAAGTTAGAATGGATTCGATAGAAATTCAAGAAAAATGGTCTCGTTAATATTCAATTTGTCGAGGTTGACTACAGGGAGCCCAGCTTTACTCCGAACCCTTTTCATCATGTGTCATGCCGATATGAAAGGTGATGGGTGTGAGCGTGTCTAGGTGTGAATGAGGATTACTTTAATGTTCCAACACATTCACACCCACATCCATCCATACTCACACTCATACCCACACCCAGTTGTGACTATCAGTGGGTACGATATCAAATAGTATGCTCAATTTTGAGAGAAATTCTAGTGGCAGTTGTTCTTCGCTTTTCTCTTGAGTTTATGCCATTATCAATCGTCCCCTGTGTTATTTCAATTCTTGTTGGTTTTCTTTAAAGATGCTTATTCTTTTTTTTTGTCGTTATTTCATATTATTTCTCTTTTCTCTTCTTTGTTTTCGTTTTTTCTCTTTTTTTTTTTTTTTTTTTTCCGTGCTGTTTTTTTCTCTTCTCTTTTTTTTTTTCTTGTTTCTTTCTCTTGTTGATGGTGTCTTCCATATCAACCCTATCGAATACATGTCTTAGGAAACAGCTTCCCCTTTAGAACCTTTTAAGTCAGAGGGTTAATACAGCAAATAATTAAGTTTTTGTACGTATGGTGTTTGACAGTGCGCACAGCACTGTTCACAGGTATCAGTTCCAAGTTTTTCTTTCCTCAGCAACAGTATCAAGAGCCTTGGAAAGGTCGTGAAATCATAGAGCACAAAATTCTCTATGTATTGATGTTGAATAATTTAGTTCTAGCATCGGCTTTAATAAGAAAAGATGCACATAAATGAATAAATGTCGTCAGAAAAAAGTAAATCGCAGTCGAATGATTAAGTAGATGTGAATCTTTTAAATTTCGCATTTACAAAGAAAATTTGTTGAAAAAACAAAACTGACAGTTTTGTGTAGCTTGAAACTCTTTCTCTTTTAGCGTCAGAGAGACTTTTAGTGATTATGAAACGAGAGACAGAAGCAGTGGAGTTTGATACAGTTTATCCTGGAAAATCCATTAGTTTTTATTATAAGTTTCATTTATAATGATAGACATATCTGAACCAATTTTAACAACTCGAAAAAATAAAAGAGATCTGCAAAACCTGTTAAGCCTCTAAAAGTTTCTGCGGTTTACCCCATGACCGAACTTCTGAAAAAAGCTTCTGCACAAGCAAAGAAGTTTTTAAAAGGATGGCTGAAAAGGTTCTGCAGATCTTCTTTATTTTTTTCAGAGTATAGTGCACTGAAAATTGCTGCATTTTATTAATAATGATCTTCTATAGAAAATCATTGCCCATAAACAGTTACACTTGTAAAATAATGTTCGTTCCGAGAATCTATCATTTTTCAAAAATTACATTTTGAGTCAATATAAAAGTAATCAGATATTTACCAGCAGCGTAGGATTTTGCATCAAGTCATGTTTTCTGACTGAAGTCCAACGAAAGAAATTTTTTCACAGGAGGTAATTTATGAGAAAAATAAAAGTTGAAGTTTTGATTAACTTAATTCTCCAGTTTGTTCAGAATTCGATGATAGTTTCAAATATTTAGAGCATACGAAAAGTAACGAGATTTTCAACAAAAAAAAATACCGAAACAAGCTATGCTAGGTTTCATTTCATTACATGTTCAAATTAGTTACTTCGATTATTTATACACAACTCCATTCGTTCTAACCATTTATCAACAGTCTTTTTGTTTTGTAGTTATTTTTGTTGATCGAGTATATAGTCATGGCTACGACGCGATACAAATATTGTGAGTTGCTCTAATCAGTTAGATTCTGTTTGATCAGATCGAATATCCAAAAATCACATGATGTCAGTTATGAAGACTTTAGTGATTGTCGAATGATTTTGACGCCTTTCTATTCGAGATAATTTGAAACATTTTTATGAACATGTGGTTTTGAATTGCTGTGATGAAGTTTGATGACATATGAAACAGATGCTGATCTCTTTTCCTGGATCATCTGGATAAGTGGTTTCAAGCATTATCGATGTAATAGTGGTGATCGATAGTCTCCTCTGGAGCAAGAGGATGAATTAAGATAGAATTAATCGTTTTCAAGAAGGCGTAAAATATGGTTGTTGGAACAGAGCGACTACATCGAACCACCGTAGACGAATCTCTACCTATTCGTGTCTAGGTAATATTCAATGAATTTCGAATAATTTGTTGAAGATAAAACCATGACTCATAACAGCCTACAGTTGTATTTCATCAACCATAACGAAAATTTTCCTTACTCATATAAAAATGAGAGTACATCCTTTTCATTGAAATTTTTCACATGATAACATCACTGGATTGATGTTGCCATAATGCAAACATGTATGGACAGAATCTTTTCTAAAATTCCCTATACTGTGATATAAGAAGATCATATGTTGAAAGATTAATTCGTACTCAATGAAGAACTTTTTTTCTGCCGAACAATCCTTGTTTGACGACGTATTCTACAATCATGTTCAACACAAATTTTCAAAATGTTCATTTCGTGAAAGATTTTATGTGTTCAGAGCACTCTATGTTGGTCAAGAATAGCAACGCCTGTATTTCAAATACTATTGATCGTTCTCTTTTAAATAGTAGGCTCCACTTGCTTCACTTTTAAGTTGGAATTTTCACGATCATAAATCACTTAAAATCAATAAATGATTGGATGTTGTTGTAATCATTTAGAAATCAGTATATTATCATCAGTAAACTAGTTTATTTGAAACAAATTTTTGACTGAACTGTCATATTTTTGTATCTTACACATTAAAATATGGTAAAGTGAATGCATTGCTCGTTGAATTCTACGTTGATAAGTATCAGAACTAATAACTAATAAAGGTCTCAAGTTCTATGGGATTTTTTTTGTTGCAATTCTTAAATAATATATAATCATTCAAATGTATCGGGTGTGGATCTTTTGTGTACTCTCACCGACACCTTACCTATGGAGCTAGATCCATGATCTTCGGTCACTTTGGTTGAAACACTGCTTCAAAAAATGTAAAAGTTTTGAAAATCTGTCATACAAAAGTAAATTCGAAACTTTGTAGAGCAAACTTGGTTGTAGAAAACCTAGCCATTAAAAATTGTTTCACAAATTGAGTTTTATTGATTTCAATAGAAATATAAAATCAACAAAAATAGTATTTAAGTACAGCCACTATTTTGTGAAATCTAATCTCAAAGTATGAGAGTAAAAATTTAGACCCCGCTTAGGGTCACAAGCCCAGTATCAATAATGTCTCGTTATAATATATGAATCACTTCCTTATTGCATACCTGGAGAAGAATAATGAGGAAATGTATCCCGAAGCAGATAGAATAAAACAATCTTTTTGTGCAGCTACATCGTGTTTTACAATTTAATCCTACGAAGATTACGCTAGAAGCTTTTAGACTATTTGAAACCAAATGGTGATAAAATTCCAATCTTACCCCACAAATCTAGTTTTGAACACATATTCGCCAAGAACAAAAAAGTTTGATTCTAACCAGTTGTCTTTAAATGGCTGAAAAAGGAGTGAATAATTTACCTGTCAAGGCATTCGCGCCACAGGTTATTGCTGTTGATCAAAACCAAATGTCATGTATATTCTTTTTATTTGTTTCACAACAATAATAAAATAAAAACTAATTTCGATTTTTATACAAAAAACAAAAAGTAAATCAAGTTTTTCTAAAAGTAAGATTTAATAGAATGGATACATTTGTTGTTGTTGTTGTGGCATCATAAACCCAGCTTGCATATTTGCATTAGGATACATCGTTGGAAAAAATGGTTGTTGAGCTTGAGGAACAAATTGAGCATGATTAGGCATCATCATGTTTTGTTGTGGATATCCTGCCATAGGTTGAAATTGTTGTGCCTGTTGAAATGGTTGTGCTTGTTGAAATGGTTGTGCTTGTTGAAATGGTTGTGCCTGTTGAAATGGTTGTGCCTGTTGAAATGGTTGTGCCTGTTGAAATGGTTGTACCTGTTGAAATTGTCGTGCCCGTTGAAATCGATGAAACATATCAGTAGGTGTAGAAAATTGACGAGAAAGAAATGGTGCTGAATTAGATGGTCGTAATACTTCATGTGATACGGGTTGTCGACGATATTTAACTTGAATACCAGGTGAATGATGATGAAAATGTTGAGGTGAACCATCACGTCTCGAACGATTGAATAATCGTTCACGAGAATTCGATCGACTTCGATTAAATGAAGAAAAATCATCATGGAAATTTTGATTTCTCAGATTTTCTTCACTTCTTACTACTCGTCTACGAAGACAAATTGGAACAGGATCGTAACCAGATTCTTGCCTAGCTGCATCAGCTGCATTAAAAAAACTTTGTGGTAATTGACCATAATCAAATCTCGTTGATACAGCTTCATCTCTCATTTGATGTCTATGATTTGATAAAGGTGATGCATGATTACTTGTTGGTGTTTGAAGACAAATGAATTTTTTAAGTCTTCGAAATATTCTCATATTAACATCAACGATGACAATAATCGACAAACTTGTTTGTTTTCTTTATACTTATGCGACGTAAAAAAAAATCATTCAAGCAAAACACACAATATGTAGAAGTAAGTTACTAATGAATCATTTTTAATTTTATTGCACATGTAGGTGTTACTATTATTCAACATTATGTTTATCCGAAATGAATCAGTAATGAAATATTACTATCGATGTATAGAAATCGATATTTTTATTTATCTGTTAATAATATTAGATTATTTTGTTTTATGACGCAAAATAGTAAATCAAAATGAATCATCGAAAAGATTCAATATTCCCTTTTAATGTTTCGTCTTATTTATATTTATTTGATCACTATTAAAAATATGTTGAAGTTCGAAAATGAAATATAGAATAACATTAGTTTATCTATTTTGAATATACAATAATAAACAGTTTATAGTAAAAAAATTATCTCTAATAGATATGGATATGATATAAATTCTTTAATTATTCTTTATTCTCTTTACCAATTACTATACAATTTTATCAATACAAAACAATCCTCATTTCATAGTTATAATAATATAACATTCACTTAATAATATCTCTTACAACATACATTAATTGAAAACAAAAGCCATGAAAATTCAACAAAATATTGATGAATAACTACAAAAGCATATTGAAAATTTTTGAATCAACTATTGATTAAAATATGCAACATCTCATAAAATTCAATATTTGTCATAATACATTATATTTGATTGAAGCACGTATGATATTGAACTCAAAATCAAGACCATCGAATACAATGACCATAGAAAAAAAAAAAAACAATAAAATTATTGAAAAAAAAAAAATTACATAATTTATTTTTCTTTCCATCTGATTATCAAAACCATTGAATATTACAATGCAAGCAGACAAACAAAGTAATTTTATGAAGATAATAAACTTTCAATTTTCTGATCTGTATATATCAAATTCAATATTTACATAAAATCTCAAATTTCTTTTTTTCTATTACTTCAATAAAAATTTGAACAAATTTATATTAACCAAGTAAAAACAAGCACAAAAAAAATCCTCAAAAACCTTCAGATATTGATCAAAAAAAAAATCAACAAAAAACTTAAGATTAAATGCAAATATTGATTCAAATTTCTACAAGCCACAAATGTTAAACTTTCTTCCCTTCGTACATGAAATTTGTACAAAACATTAAAACGTCTGTTGACCTATGATACAATACAGCACTTTAATGATTCTTGAATATTTTAACGAAATACATTGCAACTAACATTTATTATCATTTGTAACAAAAGAAAAAAAAGAAGGGTTAGAAATTTTTTCTCACCTAAGATCAGAGCCGGCGAATCCGGTAAAATCGTACTTTGATACTCTTAATAAAACTTTCTAATAGGAGGTGGATAGTCACTCCGAAAATACCAAACATGTTTTTTCTAGTTATTTGTACTTGGTAACCATCGTTCCTTACATATTTCTGAGATGAATAATACTTATTGGATCCAGGTTCGACATTAATCTGGCGGACTCGAGTCATGCTACGAACAAAGCTTACTCTATATATCTCATCATTTCTCGACCTTCTCAAAAATTCATGTTGATCGAAATCCATTTTGCTATAATCAAAAATCGATCATTATCAATTTCAATACAATTGCAATAGTATGAGTTAATAATAATTCGAAATACATACGCAATAAAACAAAAAATGTTTTATAATAGCTCTAATTTTATGTTGTTTTTTTTTTAGAAGGTATACTTCATTAATAATTTTGATTCGATAGAGTTAATTGATACGATATATTGTATCAATTAATTTATGGTATTGCTGTCCTTTCTCGCATCAGTTAATGTTTCTTATAAATTGATTTGAATATATCAAAGTCTATAGACAAACATTACAAATTTTTTAAACTAACACTTTATTGTTTCTTCTCATTAAAATTCCAATAATGCAAGAATCTTCAACGTCAAATATTTCTTTCTCAGATTCTGTTTATTCATTAACATCATTGCATTTCTCATCCTGTTCATATTCAAATGAATCATTTTATATTCCATCTCATTCATGTAAATTTTCTTTTCTTTTTCTCCTTTTTTTTTGGGGATTCTATCATCATATCCAATTTATCAATCATGCGTAAATAATACACCTTATCAATTAAATAATGTTTGTTATCTTTTTGTCGAGTCAAATTAATCTTTTGATAAGAAATCTTGTTGCTTTTTAATATTGTTTTCATATTAGAATTCTCAAATAAAACGCCGACGAGAACAACATTCAAACAGATTATCTCTATTGTTGTTTTCTGTAAGTTTTTCTTGTCTGTTATCAATATTCTTCTCATGATTCATTGTGCACCGCAGGCACGTAAACGAATTAATGCTGAAGCAATCCAACGTCTCAATGCTTTCTATGTAATAAATAAACGTCCAACAGATGTTGAAAAAGATCGTCTAGCTATAGAATATAATATAACATCAGAACAAGTTAATACATGATTTAACAATGTACGTTCATGTCGAAGTCATACTCGTACAAAATTAACAGAAAAATTACTTAAAAATCAAATCATTTTACTCCAATAAGAGCTACAATCTTCTTTTTAATATATCAATTTTTTTTTGTACATTTTTTTCTCTTTCTCTTGTCAATAAATGTCATTTTAATAAAAAAAAATAGAAAAAGTGATCTTTATAAGCAAACAGATTTTATTTATCATATGAATTCAGTAGAAGTCCATTTGCATAATTACATCGTCTTGTTAGAATTTATGTTCGTTTAATATATGTATATGTGTCTTTTTTTTTTTCTTTTTGTATACATGTCATTAGAATTATACTGTATCAAGATTAGACAATCGTGTGATTATGTATGGCTTACAATAATTCATTCTCGTCGCTTTCATCTGATAGTGACAGGTCAGTGCATGCCCCAAGCGGTACCAATGCTAGCAACCGTAAATGAGGTGGCTCCCTCCACTTGACTGCATTCTTTTCGCTTCTTTATTTCTTTACACTGTACAATAAACGTTCAGAGACGAGATTGCCCTATACTCGAACTTTATGTCTAATAACGCAGGAGAATAGAACACGAAGAAATGTTTCTCTTCTCTTTTTCTTCTTTCTCTCCCTGTCTCTACCGCTCATTAGTAGTCATACGTATAGGGAATGGGGCGAGACCATCATGCTCTTGAACAATAACAATACAGTCGGACACAAACACTAAGATGAACTCATCCTGTTAAGAACAAGTAAGTATACTGACTGTACGTGTGTGATTGATTGACGGAGTATGTTTGTTTATAATATGTATATATATATATATCGTTATGTCAAAAATGCTTAAATTTTAATACTATCAATCTGAAATAAAATAAATGAAGCAATACGATAACTTTCGTTATAATAGCATAGAAACTTTTCTGTAGTTTAGTAAAAAAAATGACTTAAAGAAAGAAGCGTTCAAGGAATAAGACTTGAATTGATTCTTTCCTTTTTTTTTATGTATATATGTATCATATATACATAAGCGTGCTTGCATTTTCCCCTTTCTTTCTCTTTTGACCAAGTTAATCATAAAAAGAAAAAAAAACTAAGTAAAATATGTCGTCACAGATGGTCACAATAGAATTGTATGTATGTTGAATCACGAAACAATAAAATAAACGAAGAAGAAAAAAAAAAAAAAAGAACTATACGATTGTATGTCATTATACAAAGAAAAAGGTGAGCTTATAAAACTATCAACGAATAGATCGATTATAATAATCAACCAATTCGTATTGTAATATTTAAGACTCATCAGAAAATTGAAAATAAACAATAGATTCTTTTATTGTTTGGTTTATTTAATTTTTCTTCCTTCTGTCTTCTTTTTTTTTTACATCACAGTCTGTCTTCTCATTTATTCTCACGTTTGTCATTTTTACAAGCGTATCGCTCAACAGTACCTATTACTTGACATTCTAGATGCTATTTACACATCGACTATCATCCATTATTATTGTACATGAACAGGAAGGACGTGCTCACCTATCAAATTCTCTTCAGTTCTCTTTTTTTTTTTTTCGTCTCTATTCATTTTGCGATTCAGCGATCAGTAACAATCAATTTCGTATACATTAAATATATACATATATATATATTGCGCTTTCATCTTCGAAAAAGGCGTACACAACCTCTTGAACTTATGTTCAAGTGGACAAAATCTAGTAAAAAGAGTAGAAAAAGGCATGAAAATGTAATTTTCAAGATACAAGGACATCAGTTTTTTTTCAATTTTCATATAATGTATAAATTTGTCTGGGTGAATAGTTCGATTAGATTTTCTCTTGAAAGCAACCCTTCTTAACCTTCATCGTCCAGATGTTTGACGACCTTTATTTTATCAATGATACTTGGATATTTGAAATCTGAGCCAATTGCTTCTCTCTCTCTCTTTTTTACAATTTTTGTTTGCATCACAGTCTCTTTTTTTTCCTTTTCATCGTCGTCATCATCATCATCATCATCATCTTTGAAAATGCGAAAAATATGAGTCCATGTCTTTTTCTTTTCGTATATGTATAATGATGTGGTCGATTTTCTCTTTTCTTTGCCATTCATACATCAGGAAAGAAAAGAAGAACAAGAAGAATTGTTCAGTTCGTTTCAATCACTGCGGTCATCTCATATATTAAATGTCAAAGTAGAGAGAGAAAAAGAAAAAGCAAGACATGAAGAGAGAGAGAGAGGGAGAGAAGGAACAAAATTATTAAATATCTTGAATATTAAATTCGTATATCAAATGATTACATGTTTAACGTTCATTATTAATATTGACGCCCATTGAATATTAAACTATATTTTTGATAGTCTAGTCTATGATAATTGAGCCAATCAAAATTTATTTTTCTTTTTCTTCTTCTTATTCTCAAGGTCTATTTTTCTTTTTTTGTGTTCTTCTGTTTCTCTCGGCAACTTTGACCGGACGGACAATGATGAACGAAAGT